CCTGCATCGGGCTCGTTGCTGTCAGCATGGAGCTTGCTGGGGGCTTCAGATTCTGTGTCTCCCTCCCTCTCTGCCCCTCCCCTGCTCACAATCTCTCTCTTTCTCTCTCTCTCTCTCCTCTCTCTCTCAAAAAATAAACATTAAAAAATTTTTAAAAAGAAGGAAATTCTGACACCTGCTACAACATGGATGAACCTTGCAGACATCATGCTAAAGCCAGACACAAAAGGACAAATACTGTAAGATTCTACTTATATGAGGTAGCTAGTCAGATTCAGAGACAGAAAGTGAAGAGTGGACGCCAGAGGCTGGGGGTTGGGGAGAATGGGGTGTTAGCGTTCAGTGGGTACAAAGTTTCAGTTTTACAAGATGGAAAGTGTTCTGGAGATCTTGCACAACAAGTTTACCGCTGAACCGTAGGCTTCAAATAATTAACATGGTATGCTTTATGTTATGTGTATTTTGTCACAATTTTTTAAAAAACTATTAAAGCTCACTTATTGAACTGAGCAGTATGGTCACCTCTGGGAGGAAACTAGGAACAGGGAATAATAAGGAAGCAGGAATATTAATAAGGAAGCTATTTTTTTAAATACTTAAGTAAGGGGTGCCTGGGTGGCTCAGTCAGTTGAGAGACCGACTTCGGCTCAGGTCATGATCTTGCGGTCTGTGGGTTCGAGCCCCACGTCGGGCTCTGTGCTGACAGCTCAGAGCCTGGAGCCTGCTTCGGATTCTGTGTCTCCCTCTCTCTGTCCCACCCCCACTCATGCTTTGTCTCTCTCTGTTGCAGAAATAAATAAACATTAAAAATAAACAAATAGGGGCGCCTGGGTGGCGCAGTCGGTTAAGCGTCCGACTTCAGCCAGGTCACGATCTCGCGGTCCGTGAGTTCGAGCCCCGCGTCAGGCTCTGGGCTGACGGCTCAGAGCCTGGAGCCTGTTTCCGATTCTGTGTCTCCCTCTCTCTCTGCCCCTCCCCTGTTCATGCTCTGTCTCTCTCTGTCCCAAAAATAAATAAAAACGTTGAAAAAAAAATTTTTTTTTAAAAATAAATAAAAATAAACAAATAAATAAGCAAATAAGTAAATAAATAAATAAATAAATAAATAAATAAATAAAATGCTTAAGTAATACTGTCTATAAAGCCCTAAACCGTATTTAAAAAACGGGATTATTCATTCTCCAGTTTAGGCGTTTCATAGTCTGGATTTTCTTTTACTCTCAGATTATTAAAAACTAGGCTGTATCCATCATGAATCAAATGGTTCTAACAGTGAATCATTGCACACTGGCACCAAGAGGATGAAGCCACCTGATTCCATATTCCTCTTCATGCTTATTCTGATCTTGTTACTGTTCTCCACAAGCCCCCAACCCCACTCGGCAAGCCACACCCTTTCTGTAGTTCACTAAACAATTAAACCATTATTTTATTAATTTCCTTAATTTTCCCACTCTATGTATTTTCCTAGAACTGTCTCCTTTCCTGCTCAGCAGTGGGCCCTTTTCCTATTTTTTTTTTAAATGTTTATTTATTTTTGAGAGACAGAGAGTGAGCAAGGGAGAAGCAGAGAGGGAGACACAGACTCCGAAGCAGGCTCTAGGCTCTGAGCTGTCAGCACAGAGCCTGACGCGGGGCTCGAACCCCACAAACCGTGGGATCACGACCTGAGCCTAAGTCGGATGCTTAACCGACTAAGCCACCCAGGAGCCACCCCCCGTTTTTTTTTAATGTTTATTTATTTTTGAGAGAGAGTGAGCAGGGGAGAAGCAGAGAGAGAGGGAGCCCTTTTGCTATTTTTACAAAAAAAAATTTAAATGCTTCTATTTTAAAAAAAATTTCAAATTCAAATATATATTCACATAGAAAAATACAAAGTCAGGAGTATGTACCTCCCCTCACTGATGTAGCCCGAGAGTTACCACTGTTAACGGGTAAAATGCATTATTCTCTTATGTATTTTATGCACCTACAAATATAAATACACAAAAAAGCATACAAATACACATATATTGTTATGCACTGTAATTTTTATCAGAAATGAAACTGGATTCTATAGGATACATAACAACTTGCTTTTTTCAGCACACCATGTGGTCACAGATGTATTTTTATCTCAGTGGGGTACAAATCTACTTTATTTTTGGTTGAATACCAGTTCTTAGTGTAGACACACTATAATTTCTTTAACAACTCCTGCCTGATGTGTGCAAAGCCCATATGTCTGGTGTCAAAAACGAGTTAGCATTGTGGCAGAATATTGAGAGAAGAGGAGTAAGTTTCTCCTTTACTCAGAGATTCAGAGAAATGAAACAGGTTGGCTAAAGGGTATGCATAACTAGAAATGTAATAAATATGGCCAAACTAAATGCCAAAGACAGCTGTAGTACAATTTATAAGGGAAGGAGGAAGGAAAGACAAGAGCATGCAAAAGGCAAGTAACTCAATCTACAACACACACCCACATACACACAGAAAAGAGGCACATTCCTGTCATGGACTCTCATATCAAAATTCTTATGTTAAAGCCCTAACCCTCAATGTGACTATATTTGGAGGGGAGGCTTTTGGGAGGTGATTAGGGTTAGGTGAGGTCATAACGGTGGGCCTCTCAAGATGGGATTAGTGCCCTTATAAGGAGGGAAGAGAGAGAGCACTTTCTTTCTGCCATGTGGGGACAGAGCAAGAAGACAGTCACTTGCAAGAAACCCTCACCAGAATGAAATCTGCCAGCACCTTGATCTCGGCCTTCTTGCCTCCAGAACCTTGAGTGATGGATACCTGTTGTTTAGCCCCCTAATTTATGGTATTTTGTTTTAGTAGCCTGGGTTGACCAATCCAGGCTCTAAGGCAACGCATGCCAGGGTACCTGTATTGTGACCCACCTGTCTGATTACACTGGGGCCAGGGCACAAACGAAACGGCAGATAGGGGGCGCCTGGGTGGCTCAGTCAGTCTGACTCTTGATTCCGGCTCAGGTCACGATCTTGCAGTTTTAAGATCAAGCCCCAAGTGGGGCTCTGCACTGAGCATGAACCTGCTTGGGACTCTCTCTCTGCCCTTCTCCCACTTACGTGGGCTCCCCCCACCGCCCCAACAAAATAAAGAAATTTTTTTAATGTTTATTTATTTTTGGGACAGAGAGAGACAGAGCATGAACGGGGGAGGGGCAGAGAGAGAGGGAGACACAGAATCGGAAGCAGGCTCCAGGCCCTGAGCCATCAGCCCAGAGCCTGACGCGGGGCTCGAACTCACGGACCGCGAGATCGTGACCTGAGCTGAAGTCGGACGCTCAACCGACTGAGCCACCCAGGCGCCCCGAAATATTTTTTTAAAAGAGTAAAACTGCAGGGGCTCCTGGGTGGCTCAGTCAGTTGAGCCTCCAACTTTGGCTCAGGTCATGATCTCACGGTTCATGGGTTTGAGCCCCATGTCGGGCTCTGTGCTGACAGCTCAGAGCCTGGATCTTGTTTCAGATTCTGTCTCCCTCTGTCTCTGCCCCTCCCCCACCCATAGTCTGTCTCAAAAATAAATAAACATTTAAAAAAATTTAAGGGGCGCCTGGGTGGCGCAGTCGGTTAAGCGTCCGACTTCAGCCAGGTCACGATCTCGCGGTCCGGGAGTTCGAGCCCCGCGTCGGGCTCTGGGCTGATGGCTCAGAGCCTGGAACCTGTTTCCGATTCTGTGTCTCCCTCTCTCTGCCCCTCCCCCGTTCATGCTCTGTCTCTCTCTGTCCCAAAAATAAATAAACGTTGAAAAAAAAAAATTAAAAAAAAAAATCTTTATGGTCTGAAAAGGTCAAAATTAAAAAAAAACAATACACTATTCTCACACAAGAAGAAAGAGGAAAAGAAAGGAAGTAATTGACGTAAAAAGAAAGGGCCATTTTTCAAGCACGAATTGACCCCCAGGGAGGGAGGCACAATTCTTACCTGTCTCTGTCAAAACAAAACAAAACAAAACAAAACAAAATAAAACAAAACACCAAAGATTCTTCTACTCTAATTGCTAAGGCACCAGTAACAAAATCAGAGAGCGGACATTTGGTGAGCATGAGCTGGCATGACCGAATACGAAGCAAGAAGGGATGTGGTATTTTGAAAGCACTCCTGGTCTGTGAATTAGGGGAGGGGGTCACTCCAGATAGAAAGGGAGAAACCAGTGAAAACCCATCATTAAAATATGTTTTTTAATTAAAGCTCAAGATGGGAGACAGTCACTGGATGAATCTCCCTAAAGGGGAAAAAAAAAATTCTCCAGGTCACTTATCCACCTAAAAGTCTTCAATATTCCCCACAGCCCACAGGTAAGAGTCAAAAGCCTTAGGGGTAATGCAGCCCCCACCTACCTTTCCAATCGTGTCTCACCATCAGGAAATGTCTACTCCTGCCAGCCTGGCTTCCTTATTTGTTCCCAGGAGAAACAGACCATGCTCATTTCAGCTTGGTGTCCCCAGCGCCCATCACAGTACCTGGCACACAGCAGTCGCTGGGTAAAGGTTTGCTGATTTGACAACAACGGGAAAACATTCGGGCCTGTGCTCTGCACCCGCTCCTGGAAAGCCCCTTCCCCACCCGTCTGGTAAAAAAAAAGCCTAGGCCTCTCCAAAGGCTCGCTCAACACCGTCCGCCTCTTCTCAACACGAGCATGAGGGGGTCAGGCCTGCCGTTCTCCTCTCCTGCTCGCAAGCCCCACAGCATCCAATCACTTCGGGCCTCTCCAGCTATTTACGCATCTCCTGTTCCTGTGTTTCATCTGCCCCACTGACCCAGGAGTTTCTGGAGGAAGGCAGGGCTTTTTGAAGCAATGAGAAGCAGTGGAAAGGTCATCGACCTGTGGCCAGGCAGACCTAGCTATTGGAGTTTGGGAAAACTTTATGTAAATAAACACTTAGAACAGTGCCTGGAACAGAGCATGCACTTATCATTGGTCATTTCTTAGAACCTCAGTTCTCTTGCTTATGAAACGGGATTAATAATTGGGGCACCTGGGTGGCTCAGTCGGTAAAGCGTCCGACTTCTCAGGTCACGATCTCATGGTCCAGGAGCTTGAGCCCCCGCTTCGGGCTCTGTGCCGACAGCTCTGAGCCTGGAGCCTGCTTCGAAGTCTGTGTCTCCCTCTCTCTCTGCCCTCCCCAACTCACGCTGTCTCTCTTGGTCTCTCTCAAAAATAAATAAACATTAAAAAAATTTTTTTAATAGGATTAATAATAAATCTTCTGGTGCACCTGGCTGGATCAGTCGCAGAGCATCAACTCTTGATCTTGAGATCATGAGTTCAAGCCTCACATACTAGGTATAGAGCTTACTTAAAAATTAATAACAATAACTCTTCTGTCAGGCGGGTCTTACGAAGATTAGGAATAATGTCTGAAAAGTCTCTAGGACCTTCCTTAGCCACTCACTAGCCATATGGCAGGCTATTCTTCCAAAGCCTCGGGCTGGGTGTGGAGAGGATGCTACATACGTTTATGGAATGAGCTGAATGAACAGAGACATAGCCTAGTATCAATTCAGATATGAAGGGAAACCTTTTCAGTCATTCATTCAACAGCTCTTTAAGGGCTTGTCAGTATGTATCAGGCTTTGTTCTAGGTGCTAGGACGCAACAGTAAAAATAGTCCTGACCTGTGAAATATACATTCTAAATTTTTTTTTTTTAATGTTTATTTATTTTTGAGAGAGACAGAGACAGAACGCAAGTGGGTTAGGGGCAGAGAGAAAGAGGGAGACAGAGTCCGAAGCGGCTCCAGGCTCCGAGCCGTCAGCCCAGAGCCCGACGCGGGGCTTGAACTCACAAGCTGTGAGATCATGACCTGAGCCCAAGTCGGACGCTCAACCGACTGAGCCACCCAGGTGCCACCCCCCCTTTTATTTTAATTTTTTTTTTTTAATGTTTATTTATTTTTGAGAGAGACAGAGACAGGGTGCGAGTGGGTTAGGGGCAGAGAGAGGGAGACACGGTGAAATTTACGTCCTACAAGGAAGGGCAGATAGAAAACAGAGGGCGAGACAGAGAAATACAAGCTTCTATGGCATTAAGTGCTATGAAGAAGAGAAAAAGAGGTGGCATTTAGCAGAGACGGGAATCTCTCGGACATGCAGACATCGGGAACCTGTGAGATGTCCTCCCCCTTAGGCAGACTCCCGCAGTCTTTCCAGGGGTCAGCCTCTAGTGACTAGAGACCCGACGCCAGCCAAGGGGCTGTGGCCTGGCTCCCAGGGACCCTCTCAACTCACACCGAGCTACAGACACCTCTGAACCAATGATTACAAACTTATTTTTATAAGACTGTTTGTATTGGCCACTGAAGTCCCACGTGGAAATAAACAGGTCATAACCATACCGCTACTGGTCTGTTCCCCAGAAAATTCAGATCACTGTTCTCTCCAAATAGGTAACCTTCGGGGTGCGTGGAGTCAAACTTCTCTCCTCCCATAATGAAGTGGCTGGCAAAATAGCTTCCTAGATAGGGAGACACAGAGACATCAAACAGAAACCAGTCAAACTAAACCAGGTAAAAAAAACTGACTCGAAAAAACGTTAATCCTTCCAACAAATAATCAGTGCAACAGTTAATAACTGTTAGGGATTTTCTCTTGATTTGGGACAATGGCACAAAGTACGCCAAACCATAGCAGCGAAAACCCAAGCTACCAACCATAAATAGATGAATTTCCCTTTTAACGTTGTTAATCGAATCCTTATTATGACCTGTCTGTAATACCATCAGCAAAAGACCAGAAGGCCCCACAATGCACATTAATGAACACATGTGCGTATTTTGTCCCTGTTTTTTTCCCTTAAACTTGAAGTGGTTATTTTCTATCCCCTGTATATTCAGGGATCTTAACTATAGGCACCAGCATGTACACACACACATACATTTCTCTGCCTGGATCTTCCTAAGCCAGTTCATACCTAAACACACGTCTCAGTACCTGCCTACTACTACATACATAATTCCATAACCCTTTACAATGAAGGCTCTTTCCTTTTCACATTTGCTTCAAAATGATTGTTGTTGTTTTTATTGAGAGAGAGAGGACACATAAAGGCGGAGACAGAGAGGAAGAGAGAGAGAGAGAGGGAGAAGCAGGGCTCACCCAAAGCAGGGCTCGTGCTCATCCCATGTGGGATTCGAACTCACTCACTGTGAGATCATGACCTGAGCCAAAGTCACATGCGTAACCGACTGAGCCACCCAAGTGCCCCAAGATGATTATTAAAATGAATTTATATAATACAACTGTCCTTGGGGGCACCTGCGTGGCTCAGGCGGGTAAGTGTCCGACTCTCGATTTCGGTTCGGAACACGATCTTGCAGTTCATGGGATTGCGTCAGGCTCTAAGCTGACAACACAGAGCCTGCTGGGGATTCTCTCTCACCCACCCTCCCTGCCCCTCCCCTGCTCTTGCACTCACACTCTTACTCTCTCTCAAAATAAATATCTCAAAATAAATAAATAAATGTTTTTTTAAAACATAGCTGTCCTTGGGGCTCCTGGGTGGCTCAGTGGGTTGAGCGTCCGACTTCAGCTCAGGTCATGATCTCACACTCCATGAGTTCGAGCCCCACACAGGGCTCTGTGCTGACAGCTCAAGAGCCTGGAGCCCACTTCAGATTCTGTGTCTCCCCCTCTCTCTGCCCCTCCCCTTCTCATGCTCTGTCTCTCTGTCTCAAAAATAAATAAAAACATTACAAAAAAAATGAAAAACAAGATATATATATAGCTATCATTGACTTTACCTACCAATTACCACACAGATTATGGAGTTCGACAGGACAATAGTTTAGAACTATGAAAAGACACATGTGCACACACACACACACACACAAAACACACACCCTCAGTCCCAAATTCACTAACAGTGTGAATGGCCAGGGTTTCAGAGACATCAGTCAGGTCTTGGCCCCACCTTGACTCACGAGGAAGCAGGGATATTTTTAACACTACAGTAACTAGAGGCAATCGGTACTCAGGGGTCAGAATCCCCATCTGCCTCATCCAGACAAACTGAGGAACTGTACCAGGACGTGAGGGCACTGTAAGTCACCAAGGGAGGCTTAGGTAACACTGCAAATTCCACCTGGGAATACTTTCCAACCTAGACTTAAATGAATGCCTCTTAACATAAATTTCTTTTTTTTTTTTTTTTTTAATTTTTTTTTTTCAACGTTTATTTATTTTTGGGACAGAGAGAGACAGAGCATGAACGGGGGAGGGGGAGAGAGAGAGGGAGGCACAGAATCGGAAACAGGCTCCAGGCTCTGAGCCATCAGCCCAGCGCCCGACGCGGGGCTCGAACTCACGGACCGAGAGATCATGGCCTGGCTGAAGTCGGACGCTTAACCGACTGCGCCACCCAGGCGCCCCTCTTTTTTTTTTTTTTTAAGTTTATTTATTTTGAGAGAGAGGGAAAGTGGGAGGGAGGAGCAGGGCGGGAGAATCCTAAGCAGGCTCCGCGCACTGTCAGCGAGGAGCCCGATGTGGGGCTTGAACTCACAAACCGTGAGATCACACCCTGAGCTAAAATCAAGAGTTGGACGCTTAACCGATTGAGCCAGGCAGGCACCCCAAACCAAATTTCCATAATCGAATTATCGCATGAAGATAAGCCATCCGAAGGAAAGGATTTATCCCCCAACACGCCTTCTCACAGCTCTCCTCACATACCCCAATTCCTGGATGAATTCAAAAAACGTATGAAATGGTGAGAGGCTTCGTCGTTATCTGTCACACAGCAAGAGTATAGATACACTTTCTAAACCAGTTTCAATTTTTGTCGAAGGTTTATAGCAAACTAAACACAGTGAGATTCAGTGCTTTCAGCTGTGAAAAAGCCATAGGAAGGAAGACAGAGAAGCAAATTCCAACGGAAAAACTGAACCACATGTTCATTCGCGGGTGTTCTTCCCATGCAGCTTTACAAACACTTATTACACGAGGCAATGTGGATAAAAATCACTCACCACAAAGTGAGGCGATTCTTTAATTGAACAACAAGTAGGAAAACATTATTTGAGAAAAAAAGTGGCCAAAATCAAAGCATCACTGAGGAACTCGCGAGAGTGACCCACCAAAACCGAAAAATACAAAGTGTATGTATCTGCGGTGACAGTGCAATTCATCATTTGGGAAAGCTTAATTATCAATTATTTATGTCTCGCACTTGCAAGCCCTATTTTCCAAGTGCATAATTTATAGAGGGGGGAGGTGCCGAGTTGCCCTAAGTAGAAGCTGCCATCTCAAACAGTGGAAGTCATTTGCTGTTGAACCTTAGCAAAATATATTTTTTATACGTTAGAGACTATATATTTAGCATCCATTCGCTGAAATTTTAAAAGTTAAAGATTTTGGGGCGCCTGGCTGGCTCGATCGGTGGAGTGTGCGAGTCTTGATCTCTGGTCAGGAGTTCGAACCCCACGTTGGGGAAAGAAATGACTTAAATAAATAAATACCATAAGATAAATAAAAAGTTAAAGGTTTCACGCTGAGGGATGGCTTGCCCAAGTCATGAATAAAGAATGGAGAGAGGAAGGTTTGGTGTCTGAACTGTACTGTTGAGTTCAGTATGGGACACGCTGAGTTTCCAGTACCTGTGAACAGTCAGGTGAGGGATGTAGGGACAAAGAAATCCAGATAATCAACTTACCGATGGTAGTGATTATCCTAGCAAGAGAAGAGCACTGATGTCTTGAGGGGTAAAGGGCTAAAGATGGTGACAGGGTTCTTTTGGAAATGCCTTTTTTTTTTTTTTTTTGCCATAATATTAAAAGAGAAGAAATTACCAAGAAAGTAGGGTACAGCTAGCTGTACCTTTGCCTTACATTAAAAATCAAGAGCACAAATATACACAGATTTAAAATTAGGGTCAATATATCACAGGTGAAAAAAGGACTTCTGCATTTCAGTAGAAGAGTCGATGTAAAATTCCTTTAAAAAGATGATCTCCGGGGGTGCCTGGGTGGCTCAGTGAATTGAGTGTCCGACTCTCGGTTTTGGCTCAGGTCACGATCTCACAGTTTGTGGGACTGAGCCCCGCACTGGACTCTGTGCTGACAGTACTCTCTCCCTCTCTCTCTCTGCTCCTCCCCCCAACCCGTGTGCATACACACGCACGCGCGCTTTCTCTCTCTCTCTCAAAAATAAATAAACTTAAAAAAAAAAAAAGATGATCTCCCTTGGTGCACTTAAAATACAAATACCTTCTCTGTTAAAAAATAATAAGCTTAAAGCAACCAAAAATTTGCTCGTTCCTTTCTTTGAAACGGACCCCTGTAATAACTTGCCCTAATTAGACTGGCAAGAAAGAGCAAATCTGCCGTCTGCGGCCTGGATAAAGCTTTCTGTCTGTCTGCCCAGCTGTCTAAAGGGACAGATCAGCGCACAGTCATGTGCCGCTACCACATCAGCAGACGGTAACGCCGAACACACTAACGGTCTCTGAAAACGATGCCTTTTGGCATATTTGTGCACAGTTTCACTTTTCAGCATGAACTACACTCTAAAATCAGAAATGGTAGGGGGGAAAGAACTGTACTCAAATACTTTGCCTGTTTGCTAACAGGAACACATGTGACTAATGGATAAACTGCAACCTTTTCATTATGAGTTAGCTAGAATTTCTTAATCAGAATTCGTATTCAAATTCTTTGTGGGCTTGAAGAAGGTATATCTTGTGGTAATCATTTTACGAGACAGACGTGTGTCATCTCATCGCTTTGTACACCTTAAACTTATACAACGTCAATTATATCTCAGTAAAGGGGGAAAAAGAAGACACATCATACACGGATCTCCAACATTATATTTAAAACACAGCACGAGTGGGAGGGAGAAGGGGGAAATGGTGTTTAATGGGTATAGAGCTTCTGTTTTGTAAGAAGAAAAAGTTCTAGAGATCTTAACACTACTGAATTGTACACTTGAAAGTGGTGGAGATAATAAATTTAATGCTACATAATTTTCACTACAGTAAAGACAAAAATAATAATAAGGTTTGGTCCAGAATGGCCAACACTAATTCAAGTTCAGGATTAAAGGAAAAAAATATTAAAGAAAAAAAGGCATCCAGGCAAAAAAGTAAAACTATTTCTAAGGGAAGAAAATTACACTAGCACTGTTCCTCCAGATCAGGGCTGTCCAATAAAAATATAACACAAGCCAAAAGTGCAAGCCCCCTACGTAATTTTTAAATTATCTAATAGCCGCATTTTTTAAAAAGCAAAATTAATTTTAATATATTTTATCTATCCCAA